TGCACGGAAAAATTGACCATTTTATCCACTACAATTGCATTGCTCAAATGTGCTGTTATTAGTACCATTTACTACTGAAAATATCAACGAGATGTTTATTTATATTTGAAGACATATTAAAGGCTTTAACGCTTGTTTTCGACTCGCACTACTATCATGATTGAACAAAACTTTTGGCAGGTACTGTATGAAAAAGTATATTTAATGAACAAGAGTCGAGAGTATAATGTGGTTTTCTCTCCCTACCTCCGATTTTGCCAGCACGCATCCAAGACATTGGAAGGGGCACATCGCTAGAGAAAGTAAATGAAGTATATGTATATTGGTAGAGCACGTGGACGTATTCTTTTCCCTATAATACAAAACGACTCTTCCTGAGAATGTCAGTCACATGATTTTCTGGAAAAGAACCCCCAACTGATAAACCGCTTATTAGGGAGAAGAATTGGGGAAAACAATTTCCTAGCAACGAGCATAAACCGTAAAACCGTAAGCTGTTCCTAATTCGATCTTGGTTACCTATTAATCGTCAAGATATTCCTGTGTGATGTACCCACTTACAAGTGTTTTCATTTCCACGTTTCGTTGAAAATATGAAAGCTCTTCTTCTTTGACGTAGACAAAATAAGACGCTTTCGAGAGCGCATTAAATCCTAAAAGACACGGCGCGTAACTCTCTTGTTTTTCATTTTCTTTTCACTATTAGAAAAGTGCCCGTTTCTCTCGTTTCGTCGTTCGTTTAAACGTTTCCGCGAAACACCAGTGGCGTAGCGCAAGAAATAATACAAGAATATTAAAGAAATTATTCATATTGAGGATCAATTCTTGCCCCCAATCGGTAAAGATGTGAAGCACGATTTTGAGTGATACAAAACAGTTCGCCATTAACTTAATTATTTCCTTTTTTAACAGGTTATATATGAACTATTTATAAATACGTACCTACTAAGGGGTTGTAGAATTTTATAAGTTTAGTTGACAAATAAACGATTAAATAATAAAAAATGATGTGACATATAACTTTAAATTAGTGATGACATAATGCGACGCCTCTGTTTGTTAAATATATAGGTACTTTTATTGCCTCGAGTCTGTGAAAAATCGTCATGTCGTGTTGTACTTACGGAATATCAAGGGGACACTAAGGTGGTACCTACCTTGAGTTTATGACACATTAGGTTTGACATCTGGTTAAATCCCTTCGAACACACGTCACACTTGTAGGGACGTTCGTTGGTGTGAGTGAAGATGTGATTTCGTAAGTTCCCTGAAATTGAGGTGCACAGAATTACTTTTACTAAAACGGAACGACGAAAAGCACGAAGTGTTCTCTTTCACTCACTGGCTAAAGCTTTCAAAGCTTCGATCACTCGTACATGTACGTACATGGAGCGGTAAAGATGTGGAACAAAATCGTTAAAAAATCAGGGTACAACGATCTTGAAATAAAAACGATTTTGATTTCCTTTTCAAAATTCTGAACCCTTTGCATTTGTAATAAGTAATAACCTTCTTGAAAAGAAAAAACAAATGTATACCTTAGATTTATGTTGAGCCAAAATTTGGAAGGTGCCCAAAACGACAAATGCAAAAAAAAATTAGTTAAATTTATTATTAAAGTCTGCTTCTTGAAAAATTTTAGCCACAACTCGGAAATTAAAATAATTTCAGATGTTTTCTTCTCAAATAAGTGGTAGGCAAGTAAGTATTTTGTTAAAACAGGTAAAATTCTCCAGGATTATAATTACCTAAATAATGGCGTGCCCAAAAGTTACCCGAAAAAGACGTTTCTAATTTTGTTAACAAATTCATTCCATATTTTTACCGCTCACTGCAGGAATGTTACACATAATACGTAAAGAAAGAGGTCAAGTGTTTAACTAATGAGCAAGCCGTCAATGACTCCTCAGTGAAATTACTTTTCGCCTTTTGCATAAAGAAATATGTGTATAAGGATTATTACATCTATACCTACATATAAAAATGTACTACATTCACGTTTTTCACGAATCAGTGGAAGCAGAAGTGCTTTTTCCAAGAAAACACAAATCCGTATTTCTGATTAAAACCAGACTTTTTATTATCTGACATTATCAACTCTACCTTCCTTCTTTTTCTATAAATTGTTTCTGACATTACTTCGAAGGCAAAAATAATTACTATAGTTAAAGCAGGAAATAAAGCTTAAACGTATGCCTTATGCGGCGATCGATACGGTGCTACCTTCTACAGTGCTTCTGAAAAGTGACAGCCGCAGTCGTAAATAATGCCGACGCGAGACACATATTACAAAACAAAAGGGAATGTACGGGAAGTATCCGGAAATGTTCAGGAACTTTCTATGACTGTATAAATAAATATCTGACATCCAGCGGTTTGGGGGGGGGCAATCGATAAGATACAGTTAGTTAGTATAAATAATGTTCAAACGATGATATAAATTCATATTATAATACAATAAGCGATTGTTAAAATAATAATTCCTTTAAGTTACATTGTAGCTAACAGTAAAAGCATACGGGCATACAATTTATATGAGTTTAAGGGAGGTTACGCCCCATTGTCTGTCGTTCTGAATACGTATGCGTTACCACACATTATTATGATGGAGAATTTCGTTTTCAAGGGTCATTAAAAATGTTACTGAGAGAAAGACCGGAGGTGACATAAATTATTTAATGAATGTGCAAGCCTGGTAGGTAGACCTTTCTCTCCAGGTGAAATCCAATAAAATTTCTGTGCTTAAAACTGAGAAATTATTACAGCAAACAGAAGTTATATTGCGAGAGATTCCAACTTCAAAAAAAAAATTGATTCTTTTTTATAGCTTGATTGTTTGTTTACGGTAGAAACGAAAGCTTGCTTGTTTCAATATATCTGAAAAATTCTGGGTACGTTTCAGATGGCAATGCCCATGATAAAGTCTGCATTATTTGGCAAAGTAAAGAACAAACTGAATAAACCTGTATGTTCTACATTCTTTTTTTGGTTTGCTGTTAGTGTGATTTCAGAAATAACCTGTTGCTTTTATACGTGGTTGTCACTGTTTAGTGTAGTAAGATTTACGACATTACCATTAGACATCATCATTACTATCGCTGGCGTTTCTGCTTCATTAAGATTTGCATTCCGACAGGCGTTTTCTTGCCTGACGAACGAACGTATTAATTCAAAATGTGAAATGAATTTGAAAATCCATTAGTCAGTGCAGTGCAACTTTGCCAACGACAGCGTTCCGGCCCCGCTTTTCCCAACCGTCACCACCGCTAAGCAGATGTATCGATGGCGTAAGCAGTTAACTGGTCCGTTATTTCATTTTTACGATCCATCACCGCCAACGTACACCACGACGCTCGGCAAACTTATGAATTTTTCCGGCCGCGCGCTTCTGCAGATCAATGGCTTAAAATTCACTGATGCGAGCGTTAGATAATTTCATGGATAGTTGCAGTGGTTGCTAGCTACGACACGGACATTCCATCAATGTCCAGAGAAAGCGCGATGAATTAAAAAAGCCGAGGGTCTCTCACACTCTACTGTTTGTTAATTGTATCACGAAAAACCAAATCCAGCTACTCATTAGAAAATCAATAATTTCGTTGTTATGTAAAGCGCACTTTTAAACACAATACAGTTTTTATTTTATTGAAATATCTAAAACAGTTTCAAAGTTACGCCGTTAAATGTTAGCACTTTCAATGAAACATGTGGCGAGCACACCGGTACTCTTGGCAAGATTCAATGAAGCATGCGGCGAGCGCACCGGTACTTTCGGCAAAAAACAATGAAGTACGCGACAAGTGCACCCGTACTCTCGGCAAAAATCAATAAAGCATGTGGCGAGCGCACTGGTATTCTCGGCAAGAATCAGAGAAGCATGCGGCGAGCGCATCGGTACTCTTAGCAAGATTCATTGAAGCATGCGGCGAGCGCGCGAATACTCTCAGCAAGAATCAATGAAGCATTCGGCGAGCGCAGCGGCATTCTCAGTAGACATCAGTGAGGCATTTGGCGAGCACACGGATAATCTCATCAAGAACCAATGAAGCACTCGGCGAGCGCACGGATACTCTTAGCAAGATTCATTGAAGCATGCGGCGAGCGCGCGGATACTCTCAGCAAGAATCAATGAAGCACTCGGCGAGCGCACGGATACTCTCAGTAAGAATCAAAGAAGCCTTCGGCTAGCGCACGAATTCTTTCAGCAAGAATCAATGAAGAATTCGGTGAGCGCACGGATACTCTCAGCAAAATTCAATGAAGCATGCAGCGAGTACACCGGTATTCTCGGTAAAAATCAGTGAAACATGCGGTGAGCGCACGGATACTTTCGGCAAAAATCAATGAAGCATGCGTCGAGCTCACCGGTACTCTCGGTCAGTACGGGATAGCAAATCACACCGAGCGGGCTATGATATTGAGTATTAACGGAATGGGTTGATACATAACCTTATATGCGTAGCGTGACGAGCGCTTCAATCTTGCTAACTGTACTTACTTGCTTACTTCAAATGACAATACATGTAGTGAGGTCTTCATGATTAAAGGCAAGACACAGTAATAAGGACTGCGAAGGAATTTTTCAAGAGATGAGTTATCCGCGGCTATAACTGTAGCTGTATAGTGTTAATTGTAGATAAAGGTTTTCCAAAATTGTCAAAGGAGATTCAGAGCTTTAATTAATTTTCTGAGTTGTTATAGATTAGGACTGTAAAGAAACATGTATTTGGTATTATTTAGATAACTAATAATAATGTTCCGAAATAAGCGTGAACGTAGAGGATTCCCGACTTCGAATTCCTGTTTCAATTTAGCACGAGAGGAGATAGTTGGCATAATTGGATTCGTAATAAATATTGGCGCTTAACAATAACAGAAGCTACGGTCAAAATAAAGGAATCATGCGGTTACCTTCCGTTCTGTTCTACTCCGCAACGCGGATTATGTACTCCAGTACTCTCAGTTCGCAATTGGATTATGCGAATTGATAATAATGGTTTAACGTCGAGTAGCGAGACGGTTTCTGTAGTTACTGCTGTTGTACAGCACATACTTGGAGCAGTTGTCTAGTTACGAATAATTTGCCCAATTAGACGGCAGTTTAAAATTTCTCGCACCTCATAAATTTAATAAATTTAAATAGTACACTGCTAATGTGCCCTCTAAAGCCTTTTTAGCTCGAACATCATGAGATTAGAAGTTACTGCGGCAATGTTCTAACAGTTTAAGTTGGTTAATGTTGACAAGAAGACGTAGTGTAAAAGTGCTTGTAATAAGTGAGCCGCGGTTTCTACCAAATTGCACCATAAACTTCCACCTTAAACTATCTCTGATGATTACGCAGTTTTGGACAAGTAACGTATGTGTTAACTGCAAGTTTAATGAGCCCGAAGTTCTGAAAGTGTACTTACACACACATAACATAATTAGGACCAACTAACTTGCAATTTACTTTAGAAATGTTCCTGTTGCTTGCCACGCCATTAAATAATTACATAATATAATTATGTGTTTTTAATTTTCTACTGTCGTACTTGAAAAATAAAAGTGTCAAGTATCTGAAGGATGATCTAGTAGTTGTCAGCTGCTGCTCACTTATACTATCCTAAAAGATGGTTATCGCCATCCGACCACAGCGATTGATGGACCTTTTTTAGGACGGCATCTTCCTCCAGATCGTTACGCACTCTTGACAGAGTGGTTGTGGTCGTGGTATGAACCCGATCTCTGATCTGGTAGCAAGCTTGACAATCTGTTTTTTTTTTGTGCACAGTACACAGACGTAAGAGAGCGTCTATTGCTATCTTGATTGGATCCATCCGTCTAGTAGATATTTAAAAGATCTGTGGGAAGAACTCGTGGCTCAAAGATTTGAATTCATGATCCGAACGAACATCTAAGTATCATCTAAGACATCTTCAGGGGTACAGTTTCATGCACCATCATAGCCATTTGGATCTCGAAACTCCTAAAAAGGAGACGGTGTCGTAAGAAGAAGATCTTGTGCAAGGTGTGCCGTGTGCTTTTATGCTTTCTACCTTACCCTGTATGATAGAACTCCCTGTGGTAACATGAGATGCAGGATTGGACAGTGGAAGATAGACAATATTCAATGGTTTAGTTCTTCCAGTATGGATTTCTTGGTCCGAAATCGGTCTGCGATATTTTCAAGATCCTTCTTCAGAGCCACGTTTCTAAATCGTCTCTTCATCATACAAGAATATGGGGAAAATCAAAGTTCTAGTTCTAGTTCAAAGTGGCTTTATGGGAATGCTGAGATTTCCCCAAATCTTCTGCATTGTGACCATGGCAGATCTGGTCATTTGAGATCAAGATAGATGTATGATGGGGTCGTCTTACTATTCGCAATTTTCGTTACTGTTTCCAAGTTATTGTCTTGGTTTTACTATGATCCACTTTCAGGTCGAAGTCAAGACTAGTTCTCTCTATTCTGACTATGAGTTCTTCCACCTTATAAGAATGAAGGGATAATACACTCTGGAGGAATTTTGTCGCTAGAATGACTTATAGTAATGGTCTACAATAAATAAGTTCGGTGGTTCCAATAAATTGCTTACCTTTGAGACCACCAGTAGTGATTTGGTGGTTCTCCTAGATTGTTCGCGATTTTGAACTTAGCTGGTTAAGATAAGTTACTGATCAGGAAGTCAACACGTAAAAGTACCGAAATTTATGTGATACATGAATAATGTTTGTATCAATGAAGGGGTTCGTTTGATGTGTAACACACTTGAAACTTTCAGGGTTATAGCAACCGTCAACATAAATATTTCCGTCTTTTTAAAAACTCTTTTCCGTTTTCGATTTGGTTTCTATTCCATTCTTACTTAGACTCATGTATATATCTTATTATTTAGACGAGTTTCTGTCAGTTTGTGCCCCTTTATGATCGGCCATTGTATGTAATTCTTACGCTAAATTAAACTTTTTCTATTTATCACTCCCCTTGCTGCGTCCGCTTATAAACGACTGGTCCCGGAGAAAGTCATTTAAGAATCATGGACGAGGTAGCGTTCCTGCTCAGGGACGTTTTAAGACTTCCACTATTCCCTCACCACCTCAACGACCCTAAGCTGTTGTTATATAGGTTTTGAACTTAGTTAGGCCTCACTGTCACATTTAATGTTCAACACTGACCGAAATCATTAAGATTTTAGATTTTACCTTTAGATAATAGAGGGGTGCTTCATTTTCAAAAGCATAAAATGACCCTATTATATCCAAATAGAAATGCCACATCGTTTTGTTAATTAAGAAAAGAATTAAAGAACGGGTGCCATTTCACCTTTTTGAATTTATTTGCTTTGAAGTAATTTTGGTGGACCGTTTCCCCCTTTGGTTGTAATCAATAAGCTTTTCGTTAATCTTTGGACCCAGCTAGTGTGTTCGAATCCTTTGTGTAAGTGGGTATCTTAATCTTGTCCGCGACAATGACTCTTTTTATACGGATTTCTTTTAAAGACTAATAAAGGCCCCTTCGGAGGCAATTAAGGCGGCGGCGGATTTGTGGGAGAGGATATGAAGGGGAGAGAAAAGTATTTTTCCGACAGTCGACGAGGGGATAGATAGAAAGGGAGTCCTGGAAAAATTCAAATTTACATTGCGCCGTGAGACTTTGCGAATGAGTTGCACTGAGAGGTCTCTTTTATCAAAAGAGTAATGAAAATGAAGATCCCGTTGGTCCTGTTTTTTTTCATTTCAGACTGAAATTTATCAGTCAGATTAGCATTCAAATATCACTGGAAAATAACTGACTACGACTACGTAGTTATTGTTCAAACCAATTACGTGTTTGCGTTTGTATGTTACAATTAGTCAAGGAGAAGCTGAGTTAAAAGTAAAACTATCATCATCAGTCCTAAGATTGGTTTGACCACCACTTTTTCCTATACTGAACTAATCTTCGCGTTTCCCTTAAACATCCCACATCCTTAACTATTTGTGAATAGTAATCTAATCTCTACTCCTCTTAGCTCCTTCTTCTGCTTCTAATATGTCCCCAACTACCCCTACATGCCTGAGAAAGTGTCCTATCAACCTCTATCCCGCCTATTTATTATTGACCTCCATTGGGATCCGTCAAATGGGCATACACCATCTGGCGGCAAAATTTATAACTCGAATGAGGGAAAAATTTACATAGGAACTGTGCACGCAAATTGTAAAATTGTTCATTAAAATAATAAAACACGTTGAAAAAGTAAAAATTTTTTTGATGATGGAGTCGACGAAGTTTTCTTCTAAAGTTAAATCAAATAAAAAGTTAATATGTTCAGTGAAAAGCTGCAATAGCACTTCAGACATAGATCTTCACTCTTCACCTACATTAACTACTTTCCAATAAAAACTAACCGTTCTATATATGTAAAAAAATATATTCGGAAAATTAGAGAAAAAAGTAAACCAATAGAAGCTTGGATGAAAGCAGTAGGTATCAAAGAAGTGAATTCCGGAATAAAAATTTGTTCACGTCATTTTAATGCACATGATTATATTTCAGCAAGTATTTACCATCAGCCATAACCTTAATATTTAAAACTAGAATCATACTAAAATTATAAAGTGAGAAATTATTTATTCCTGTGTAATTGATTTAACACAATTCTAATGATACGATATAAGTATTTTGAGGTTAAGAACCTACCTGCTGCAATACAACAAAGTTGGAATAATGTGTTTGCAACGTTCTCTTAAATCGGCTTTGCACGTGCAAGTCATTGATGTGATATTGCTTAAAACACCCAGAATCGCCTCACCAATTATATAACGTGAATCACTTTTTAAATCCGAAGTTTGTAAAAAGTAGGCAGTAAACTTGACGGAATTTGTTATTTCCGAATTTTATAATGTGATTGGCATTAAAAACACGCTCACCTTCAACAAAATTTCCTTTCCGAGGCTTTGTGTCAGCCCAATCACATATTGTGTCAATACTTATCATTTTATCGTAATTTAAAAACTTGGAAATTGCACGGTACACTATACGAACTACGATAAATTTTCCCTAATCGGCGCCATGTTTTTAGGCTCCTCCCATTTGACGGATCCCAATAGTAACCTCTGTTTTCCTATTCTTTCTAATATCTCCTCATTTTTGACCTTCATCATTCGCCTGTTACGTCACTTTTCGAACGTTTCCTTTTCCGCCGCGTCTACCTTCCACGTTTCGCACCCATATAGCGCCGTGTTCAAGACAAGCACCTTTAACAATCATTCTCGAATTTCTTAATCAACTAATACATAATCATTATCAATAGACGAACTATATGTGGAAAATGATTAACATCATCGACTGTGTTTGGTTCGTGTTGGTGTCACTTACCTTTCTGGTGAAATGCCTTGTTGCAGAGGTGACATCGGTGAGGTTTGTGGTCGGTGTGGGTTTTCCTGTGCGATATCAGGGTAGATACGCGATTGAACGTCTTCTGGCATATCTCGCACACATAGGGCCGTTCCGCCGAATGTATGGCTCGATGCTGCGATAAAGTTGACATCTGTCTGAAAGCTGACAAAGAACTTTATGATTATGTGGGGATTCACCGACGATAACGGCCACCACGGCGACAGTGGAAAGGCATTGGAAAGACTTTCGTGAAAAGCTAACAATAATGTGAGAGTTATTGTGGCAATTGTTGGAGTAATATATAATAACAGGGTTTTTAGATGAGTGGCTATATCAGATCAATTCTCATTTATTTAATATGGTTACCAATGAAAACTGAAAATTATGTTATCAGTTTTAGAAATTTTCCGTGTATCTGTCCGTTTTTAATAAGTAATAGAACTGTCTACTGATATGCATTTTCAGTTTTTATTATTGGTTTATATGTACAACTATTCAACAAGTAATAATTGAGAAAATTGCTATTTCTTACGTAACAAAAATCTAGTAGTACAAATTAACATTAAAAATATAGTAATGTTTCGCATAATGATTTTTATAATAAGATTTATATTTAATAAGGACTTTTGCTACGAGAAAATCAAATTTCCAAAATCTCAAAATTCGGCAAAACGTTAAAGACAGTCTCTGACTGAAGATGACTCAATAGACATTTTGCAGAATTGTGAGATTTTATGTTTAATGTAGGACATTTGGTGACAAAGACTTATGCTTTAATTAGTGTCATTTTTGTTGCAGGTGTTATCAAAAAAGGATGATTACGTTTATTGGTGAGTAAAAGTGTTAAAAGTTATTTAAGATTATTATCAGACGGTAAGAATTATCTTTAAACTTTGCTGTTACTTACCGCCCATAGGCGGGTCATCATCAAACAGTGGAACAGTTTTAAAGTTTTATCATTAATACAAAAACAGGTAAAGTGGTAAGAACCAAATGGATTTTCGTAGTAGTAAAAATTGAAGTAGATTAAATTTGTCTATTTTTCCATTAATGGACCGCTAATTGCCCTATTGTTTACACTACTTTAGTCCAAAACAGCGTTAATCCATTACCTACCAGGGAATTCAACAAGTTTTTGAAAAGGACATTGAAATATAGACAATCTAATTTTTGTCTTTCTTATGCAAGACTAAAAATAAAATTACAGGGCTACCGCAAGTTTTATATTTTAGGGTATTCCCTATTCATTTTATTTCATTAAGCATTTTGAAGGTCTATCAGGGGCTAAAGACACGTAAAAACATTCGTTAAAGTCTGAGTCGTGGTACAATTTAAATGCCATTGTGTTATAAACGTATCCAATTATCGGGCTTGGACTATTTACAGCTACGTTTTAAGTGTCTGGGTGATGTTGTTTGGCCCCTAATAAAATTACAATTTTTTTTTGCGACCTTTGAAGCGTCTGACAGAAATTACCACCGATGGGAAGTGTCTGGCAGTATTGATTATCAATTTTTAATAATATTCTGTGAAACATTATGTTAAGTCGGAAAATAAATAATGTTTGGTGGTGGCTCTAGCATCTTGGACTACAACTCTTTCGTTGCTCTTTAACTGCAGGCACGGATTTTTTAAAATGTGAAATAGCATCAGACATCACACATCAAACATCATGCACCGAGTCGATAGTGGTTGTCCATCTATCTCTTCCTACTTATTTTCAATAATAAAAAAAACAGCGATAGGCACTCGTGTGGACCGAAAGCTTTTCGATGGTTGACGTCGATAGACACAATTTTTCCTCTTTTTTACAGGCTGTCGCCGTCAATCAATTGACGGCAACGAGGGTATAAACATTTACAACTACAGACGCCGTCAACGTGTCGCAGAAACATTTCATTAAATGTTTAGTAGACTCGCGAGAGAAAGATAGGGACAGTAATGCAATATTTACACAATTTATCTCAAACGCCTAAGATTTCTTAAAGCTATTCTCTTTTGTTCATAAGAAGTAGTTGGAATTTTATTGAAAGAACTAGTTGTGCCCGTCCAAATTTGGACAGTGGTATACTTCATTTACTTTCTCTAACGATTTGCCCCTTTCAGTGTCTTGGATGCGTGCTGGCAAAAGCGTAGGTAGGGAGAAAAAAGCTCATTACAATCTCGACTCTTGTTCATTAAACATACTTTTTCATACAGTACCTGCCAAAAGTTTTGTTCAATCATGAATAGTAGTGCGAGTCGAAAACAAGCGTCAAAGCCTTTAATATGTCTTCAAATATAAATAAACATTTCGTTGATATTTTCAGTAGTAAATGGTACCAATAACAGCACATTTGAGCAATGCAATTGTAGTGGATAAAATCGTCAATTTTTCCGTGCAGTACTGTACGGATTATACGCTCCTCACCGGTTAAGAGTTTGGCCGAAAGTTGTCTCTTTCCTTTTCTGGCCTAATGCTGTTCTTTTCTACTTTGCGCCGGTCAAACTGAAGGTCACATCGCTACAGAAAGTAAACGAAGTATACCTCTTATCGATGGTAACTTAACATTTTAATTTCAGCGATTTTTTTATGATACGTGTTTATGAAAACAACTACACACCCTCTTATTTTCTATCAACTTAAATACACCCAAATTGGTAATTTTATTTGTTGATTCTGATTTTAAATTATAATATCTGGGATATTAGACGTCCTAGTAAACTATATCATTTAATTAGACCTTTTAATACTCATCTGGTTTCACAACGGTGTACTATCAGACGAGATACTTATTAATTTGATATATAGTACGTAAACACTACTAGGGTCAATTGAAAAGTCCCCGGCCTGACACATAGATGGCGGCACCAGAACTAAATCCATATGATTTTCAGTTAGACCTAACCTTCAAAAGACGCGTCTATAAATTTGACGGCTGTCGGATCATTAGTTTGTGAATTATAGCATTTTTAGTGAAGCAACTTTTGTTATTGTGAAAAAAATGGATAAAAAGGAATTTCGCGTGTTGATAAAATATTGCTTTTTGAAGGGAAAAAATACAGTTGAAGCAAAAACTTGGCTTGATAACGAATTTCCGGACACTGCCCCAGGAAAATCAACCATCAAGGATTGGTATGCTAAGTTTAGACGTGGTGAAATGAGCACCGAAGACGGTGAACGCAGTGGACGCCCAAAAGAGGCTGTTACGGACGAAAACATTAAAAAAATCCACAAAATGATTTTGAATGACCGTAAATTGAAATTGAATGAAATAGCAGACACTCTACAGATATCAACGGAACGTATACATCACATCATTCACGAATATTTGGGTATGAGAAAGCTCTGTGCAAAGTGGGTGCCGCGCGAGCTCACTTTTGACCAAAAACAACGACGAGTTGATGATTCAGAGCAGTGTTTGAAGATGATCACGCGTAATAAACCCGAGTTTTTGCGTCGATATGTGACAATGGATGAAACATGGCTCCATCATTTCACTCCGAAGTCCAATCGACAGTCATCGGAGTGGACTGCACACGATGAACCCGCTCCAAAGCGTGCAAAAACGCAACAGTCGGCTGGCAAGGTTATGGCGTCTGTATTTTGGGATGCGCGTGGAATAATTTTCATTGACTACCTTGAAAAAGGAAGGACCATCAACAGCGACTATTACATAGCGTTATTGGACCGTTTGAAGGACGAAATCGCCGAGAAACGACCGCATTTGCAGAAAAAGAAAGTCCTGCTTCACCAAGACAATGCACCGTCTCACAAGTCAGTGAAAACGATGGCAAAAATTCATGAATTGGGCTTCGAATTGCTTCCGCATCCACCGTATTCTCCAGATCTGGCCCCCAGCGACTACTTCCTGTTCTCAGATCTCAAAAGAATGCTCGTTGGGAAAAAATTTTCGTCGAATGAAGAGGTGATCGCCGAAACTGAGGCCTATTTTGAAGCAAAGGACAAATCGTACTACAAAAATGGTATCGAAATGTTGGAGGATCGCTATAATCAGTGTATCACCCTTGAAGGGAATTATGTTGAATAAAGAAAACGAATTTTGCAAAAAAAATGTGTTTTACTATTTTAGGCCGGGGACTTTTCAATTGACCTGTTATATATTTCAATCGCTATTTTTATGTGTGCGGTTCGATGGGCATTTATTATATTACGTTTTGTTGCGACACCCTGTATTTGTTGCTTTAAGAACATGACGGAAGTAGGTACATAGACGACAGAAGAAGGGGAGGGGGTTAGATGGGAAAGAAAGCGTTGAACAAACACTGCCCGTATATTTTCATCATTTTCACGACAACCCTCCAACGTTATTACAGATGAGTGCATTCAACGTCTTTACGTTATTGACTCGGAGAAGGGAAAATGAGTGGGAGAGCACGAGAGAAGGAATAAAAGAAACCTCTTGTAATTATAAACCTTCTTTATACGACCCGCAGCTTTCTTCATAAATCGGCATTCTACTACTGGAAGAAGCAGGTCGGCGAAAGAATGCCCTTTAGGTGACAAATAAAGTGATTTTTATGGATTTGTTTTCTTGTAAATGCGCCACGAGAACGTATCGAGCCGCTAGATGGCGCTTTATTACATTTAATGATTGAACTGAAAACTGAAATATGTGAAGTAACGAAGTAAGCATTTGCTTGATACAAAATAGAAGTAACAAAGAACAAGAATTTTTATCGAAACTACTAAACTTATTAGTTCTCATCAGCACAATAAAAAAATAAACTAAGCCGAAATTGCCCTCTAAAACCAAGCTTACTCCATATTACTTGTTTATTTAATTTTATTTTCGTCGTGGACCCGCTTTTTTTTTAGAATGGATTGATTTCTAATTTTTTTTTGTAAATATGTACTTAATGTTGTCGTATTCAAGTTTGAAACATAACTTTCTTCATCAATATCGGAATCTGGTAGCGAGGCAATCGATAACGTAGAAGTCCGCTGCAAAAACTCGCTATAAATTATTCAGGAACCCTGAAACCGCACATATGTATGTACACTCCCGATACAAAGCGCTAATTTAATAAACAAAAAAAAAAAGGAAAGGAAAAACAAACGTGAATCAAAAACCCTTCGTGATTCTGCTGAAATGCTGATGTCTCCAGTCCGCAGCAACGTTACAAACTTTCATTTATTTCTGATTCATCGCTTGTTCGAA